TTCATTTTTCACTTAACACTGATTTTCGTATAACAACCTAGTCTCTGTACCCAGCCATGTTGATAAGTGAGGAGTGAGTGTAATATCAGGTTAAGAAGACGTGGCTGTTTTTTTGTAAGGTCCTCAACAAACAAAAGATCTTGCGTTTCTGAATAGAATTGTCTAAGTCTATGTTGAACATTTTCTTGGTACTCGTCTCAGAGGCTCACCACCTCACAAAATGCCTCATAGCTGTGATCATATGAGTGTGAAGAGCAGAACTTACACAGTAACTGCTGCTTCCCAAAGATCTCATCAGAAGATTTAGCTCTTTATTCCATGACTGTGATTTTAGTTAAGATCAGAGTGATTTTCTTTAATACTTTAAAATAATTTCTAAGATACATCTAGGGATCCTATAAGATCAGTGCCCTTATATGGTCTACTGTGATATCATAAATCATTTCTCCCCAAAAATGAATATTTAAATCTTGTATTACAAATTAGAAGCAATTATCTCTACCACAATAAATCCTTTCCCCGAGTTTTCTAATTACTAAAAGGGAAGTGCATGATCAATGTAGAAAAATAAAATTATCATCACCTTACTGTCTCTACCCAGAAACAGCTACTCTTGTTAACATTTTTTTCTAGCCTCTTATTTCAATATACATGTCAATGTTGAAATCAATCTGCTAAAGGCCATTTTTTAAAGGCCATTTTGTATGCTACTTTTCATTCACTTTTTAATCATATTGTATCAAAGTTAGAATGTAGTGGAGTTTTTGTTGTTTTTTTGACTCAAAGTCTAAAAAGTAAACCCTGACCATTTTATTTTGTTATATTGGCTTATTCATTTTAAAATACTTAACAGGCAGGACTGACCAGAATTTCATTCTATTATGCATCAGGTCACTATAAGTCAGAACCAACTTCATGGTACCTAACAACAACACCTGATTTATACAACATTTTGGGGAAGGAACACATTAATCAGAAACTGGGAGCTCACCAGCTCACTGACTGCTTATTTCTTATCCTACTGAAACCATCTAAATCATAAGTTTACTTTTCCCCTGTTTCTCACAGCTTGACTGAAAATTAAACAAAAAGTTCTCAGGCATCCTATGGGGCTAGCTGAAGCTATAGTATGCTATAATCCATTTTAACAACTGCAGCATTCCTTAGACGTGCTAACCCAGCTCATCTGCAAGCTTACCAGACCTTATTTTGTGAGCTCAGTTTTATGCCAAGAATAATTCCTCCAGATTAGCTGTCTTTTACCTGTTTTCAGTAACATCTGTTCAGTAGTAATCTATTGAGTTTACTACTAATACCTTTAGAGAAACAAGAGCTGATTGCCTATAACCTTCTTCTTCCAAAAGCTTTTCATACCTAGATCAGTGCTTTCAGTTTATGTTTCTCAGTGACTGAAATGTTCTATATCTGTGCTATGCAATAAATTTTCCATTAGCCATGTGTGCCTACTGAGCCCATCATTTATATGTCAGATCGTCATACTATGGTAACTAGGTGCCGTGGTAATGCTGGAAAGTATACCACTAGCAATTCAAATACCAAGAAGTTTTACCCTTGGTGGGTAGGTTTCAGTGGAATTTCCAGATTAAGATTAAGAACCAGTGTTCTACTTCTAAAAATATTTCCTAGTGAAAATCTTATGAAAGTGGCTGAAATACTCATTGTATGAAATACTGTTGGACAACAAGTGCCTCAAAATATGACTTGGAAATAGCTATTTGCTCAAAATAGTCAACCTTTCATTTGCTGATGGTACATAACTCAAATTGAAAATGAACAATTATCCATGAATAATTTCAGTGTAGAATGTATGCTGTCTGAGTACAAGAAGCTTGGAAGTTGTAAAAAATGAAATGGAACACTTGAAAAATAGATATCCTAGATGCTTAGAAAGTTGAAATGGATTGGCGTTGGCCATTTTGAATCACACAATTATAAGATCTACTTTGCCAGGAATGACAAATGAAAGAGGAATAGGGCAACACTCATTGTCAAAAAGAACATTTCAAAAATCTACTCTGAATTGCAGTGGTTACAATAATAGGATAATATTCATATAATTGCAAGGGAGGCTATTGTAGTAGTTGTTAAGTTTTACATATCAAAAATGAAGAAACTGAAGATTTATACCAACTTCTGCAGTCTGAAATTGATCAAACATATAATCAAGTTGCATTCATAATTACTAGTGATTGAAATGAGAAAAGTAGGAACAAAAAGAATCAGTAGTTGAAAAATATATGACCTTGGGGATAGAAATGACACTGTAGATCTCATGATAGAATTGAGAAAGACCAATGGTTTTTCACTGCATAAATCATTTGTCAACAGCATAAAAGACAACTATACATGTGGACCGCACTGGTGGAATATACAGGGGTCAAATCAGTTGCATTTATGGAAAGAGATGATGGTGAAGCTCAAAATCATCAGTTAAAACAAGGCAACAGATCATCAATGTATTCATGTGGAAGTTCAAGTTGAACATGATGAAAATTAAGACAAGTCCACAATAGCTAAAGTATAACCTTGAATATATCCCACCTGAAATTAAAAATCATCTCCAGATTAAATTGAAGCATTGAGCACAACTGAGAAAAGACCAGATAAGTTATGGGATGACAACAAGGATATTCTATGTGAAGAGAGCAAAAGGTCAGGAAAGTAGAAAATGACCAAAATGAATGTCAGAAGAGATTCACAAACTTGATCTTGAATATGGAGTAGCCAAAGCAAGTGGAAGAAATGATGAAGTAAAAGAGCTGAACAGAAGATTTCAAAGGGTGGCTGTAGGAAACAAAATATTTTTATGGAATTAGAAAACCAAAACACAGTGGCATTTCTCAAGCTCAAAGAACTTAAGAAAGAAAATGCAGCCCTTGAGTTTCAATATTCAAGGATTCTATAGACAAAATGCTAAAGATGCAGGAAGCCTCAAGGAAGATGAAAGGAACACACAGAATCATTGTACCAAAAAGAATTGGTCAGTTTTTTTTGGTTGTTTGTTTGTTTTTGAATTGGTCAGTTTTTAACCATTTCAGGAGGTATCATATGACCAAGAATCAGTAGTTCTGAAGGAAGAAGTCTAAGTTGCAATGAAGGGAGTGGTGAAAAGCAAGACTCCAGGAATGAGCAGAACACAATGAGATGTTTCAACAAAAGGATGCAACATTTGAAATGCTCATTTTTCTATGCTAAGAAATTTGAAGACAGCTATTTATTTGGTCACCTGAGTGGAAGAGTTTCATATTTGTGTCTATTACAAAGAGAGGAGACATTACATAATGCAGAAATTATTAAAATACTAATATCACACAGAAGTAAAAGTTGATGAAGATAATTAAAAAATGGTTGCAGCAGTATATCAATAGGAGACTCCTAGAAATCTCAGCCTGGTTCAGAAGAGGAAGTGGAGCTAGGGATATCATTGCTAACAGAAAATACCAAGGAGATGTTTACCTGTGTTTTATTGTCTATGCACGTAAACTCAATTTGTGGATCATAACAAATTATGAGCAACATGGCAAATAATAGGAATTCTAGGACAAATAATTGTACTCATGTTCAAAGCCACAAGCTGTGCTCCTCATCTGGAGAAAATTTAGGCTAATAGATACACAGTCTTGGAAAACAACAGGGGCAGTTCTACCCTGTCCAATAGGTTTGCTACTAGTCAGAACCACACCACGTACTGAGTTTAGTTAGTTTGTTTTTTTAATCATTTTATTGGAGCTCATACAACTCTTATCACAATCCATACATACATCAATTGTGTAAAGCACATTTGTGCACTCGTTGCCCTCGTCATTCTCAAAAGAGTTTAGTTTTTAAGAGCATTTTAAAGAGGGGGGTGAGATTGTGCATAGTTTTCAGTTGGCACTGAATTTCTAGATGTCATTAGATTTCTAGTTCTTCTCAGAGGGTGGGGGCAGCTTTGGGAAAGGTGTATTTCAGCAGCTCCAGGCCTTCAGGAAGCCACTGTAGAGGCAGATGAGACACAAGGGGTCTTCAAAGCAGTCCTGCGTGACACAATGGAAATGAAAGATAATGGAATTTTTCTGTGGACTTTTTGTGTATGTTTGAAAGACATTTCAGAATAAGAGTTTGTGTTGTTTTTTTTCAGGGAGATTTGATAGGGAAAAATCAATTTGGCAGGTTTTGTTTTTTTCTTAATCTCCCCTTCCAAATACATCATTCATTATCCTTTCCATACTCTTATGTCATACCCTTGCAACCCTGGCATCTGAAATGCTGCAAAAATACTTTTGAGTCATTGCCATTGATTTTTGTGTGCCATTCAAACATTGCTGTAGTGTAATCCCTTTTAAAGAGCTTGACAAATTGCCTCAGATTTATTTAGATAGATAGATAGATAGATCTGCTCTTTAAAGTATTCAGTGATCTTTCCCATCAATAGTTTATGGGATTAGCTGATATCCATGTATTAGGAATACTGTTTTGTCTTTCCCTCCTTCACACTTTCCCTTTTCTTTGTTACAGTTCAAGTCTTCCATTTGTGTTCATCTCGTTGTCCTTGGACATTTTCTCTAATTCCTGATTCTTGGCTTCTGCTTTCCTTTGTTCCCTGCAGGGTTCTGCTCTAATTCCTTTCCTCCCAAGGATGTATTTCCTCCCTGCATGTATTCTGGGTTTACTCTGGTTCTTGTCTTGCCCTCTTCCCACCCATTCTAACTGCTCTGCTTTAGGCAGGAAGGCAAAAAGTTATAAGCTAGTAAAACAACCGCCTCTCTTTTATCTGCACAGTAAACCCACCAAAGTGTAATCTCTCTTCTAAAGACGTTCCCCTTACTAATGCATGCTAGTAACCCACCTGCCTCTACAGGCTTTTTGAAGAGAACCATTTTAGTTTTATGGCAACCAAGAGGCTGCACATCTACTGCTTTCATTGTGAACTGAATTTGCTGCACCTTTGGTGAAGCCGCGTGGGGAAACTGACTGTGTTTTCTGCCTTCTGTTGACAGAATGGTACACGAAACTTCCAGGACTTTGACTGTCAGGTAAGGACTGTACAAGCACCAAGGAGGGCTGTGTACAGGAGCTCTGCACTACTTCATTTCCTCTGGTGGTGGTCTTGTGGAGGTAGATTTCTTTTCCTAGCTAACTGTGACTCTTTAGGAGCCCTGCTGGCACAATGGTTAAGCCCTTGCCTACTATTCAAAAGGTTGATGGTAAAAAAAAAAAGGTTGATGGTTCAAACCCAGTGGCTTGGTGGGAGAAAGACCTGGTGATTTGTACCCATGAAGATTACAGCTAGGAAAAACTGATGGAGTAGTTCTGCTCTGTCACATGGGTCTGTTATGAGTCAGCATCAACAACACCCAATAAAAATAATAACAATGGTCCATCTTTGGATCAAATTTATTTAAAATGATTTAGTATTGTATTTAAGATTTGCCTGCTAGTACATATTTTATTGTTGTAGCTTTCTGGGTTGAGCTGGCTCTTTGTGATTAAGCCCTCTTTTTCTCAAATGCTATTGAAAACCTAAGTCACAGGTGTCAAACAGAGGGTTATCATCTTTCTGTAGAGATGGTTGGGACACGGAGAGGTCTGTGGGGAGGCTGCTTTTTTATTCTTTCTTCCTTTGTTGTTGAGAATATGTGCACAAAATATACACCAATTGAACAGTTTCTACTTTACTATTTGATAACATTAATTATATCTTATTATTAATCATTTTATTGGAGACTCTTACAGATCTTATAACAGTTCATTATTCAATTGTAACAAGCACACTTGTACATATGTTGCTAACATTTTCTTTCTACTTGAGCCCTTGATATCAGCTCCTCTTTTCCCCCCTCCCTCCCCCACTCTCCCTCCCTCATGAACCCTTGATAAGTTATACATTATTATTTTCATATTTTACATCGCCTCTGTCACCCTTCACTCACTTTTCCATTGTTCGGCCCCCATCCTTGCTTTTCAACACTT